TTCAGTTTTTGCTTCTTGTCCTAGCATTGTTTGTTATTTTATTTTGGCGGGTCAAAGCGGAAGTTACGCAGTAGCTTCGCGCTGCCTTCATGACCTATCGGCTGTTATCACAACAAATCAGACTTGGCTGAAAGGGAAGCGCGACTACTTCTCTTCGGAGCAACTCTTGGTAGTTTATTGTTCTTTCTACCGGCCTGTTTGTTGCTTTTTGTCGTGGGGAGTTTTCCATCGACGGTTTCAGGATGGTAAAAGTTTCATTTAACGGCGCTTTGGCGCAGAAAGATGTGAAGAAAGATGCTGAAACTCTGATCCCCGAGGAGAACACGGTAAGAAAAAAAAAAAAATGGCTTTTAGGGCTGAACACAAGAGCAGCTCTGGCGTGGAGGGGCGAAAGTAACCTGTACTTTAAATACGTTTTAAGGCAGTGATATTTTACTCCAAAGTTGACATTTGTGAATATGTCATCGATGTTTTTATTAAATGAAAGCTGTTTGTGTGAAATATATTTACGTCGTAAGAGTTTTGACGGACGTTACTTCCTGATTTGGCCTTTAGCTTCTTGTTTAAACAGCAAAAATGCTAATTTTATAAACTTGTTTGTTTCAACGCTCGGTTTTTTTAACTCTTACCCGGTGAATTCAAGAAATTGCCCAAACAAAGGCAACCTCTTTTGTCTTTGTCATGTAAACGGATGTAATTTTGTTTATGCGCTTTTTGCCAAACGCAGCGCGAAGGTCAGATTAGAGATTATTTGCCCTCAATTCAAGATTTTTTCCTTTTAAAGTTGTTTAACTAATAGAAATATTATTTCTAAATGATAGAATATATAAAAATAAAACATAGGCTACAGTTACTCCCATTTACCAAGCAGACGGAATTTACCTACGTGTGAAATTTGGTTTAATATGGCGTTTTGATCACATTAATTGCAGTTAATGTCATATCAACATGCCAATCAGATCTTTTATTACAAACTTAATAAACTAAATAAACGTTTTTTTTGTGTGTGTTTAAGTAGAAGTTGCACGTATTTATTTTCAAACTGGAACTTTAATTTTAGTTAATCCTCTTAAAAATCAAGTTTTATTCTGTTTTCGCCCCCGTTTTATGAGAGTAGCTTTATTATAGGGAGCTGTGGAGTCTCAGGATAATTAGCTTTAAGGTGCTCACTCCCTGTTAAACACTAGACACTAATAACAGAGTTTTAATGAGGATTTGGTTGGATTCAGCAGAAGGATCTCAGTTTAATTGGTTGTGCCCTATTTACAGAAAACCCCATGATCAAACAGATATTAAATTGCAGCTGTATAAATACAACTTTCACAATATAAAGATGTTTTTTTGTACTACCAGTTATTTTATATCTAATAATAAATGCACTTTTTGTTTTTTTCTGTGGCGATATAAGTTTGGAACAAAAAGGATTACAAAATAGCCTTCAGTTGTTCATTAGCTGGTCTGTTTTTAACCTTTTTTTTAATATTTAACTAAACTCAAAACAAAGCAGATGCTGGTATTGTTGTCTTTAGGTCAAATATGGAAGGGTTTTATTTTGCTGACTTAAATAATCTCAATAAAAAATTTATATATTTAGTGTTTGACTTCACCAAGCATAATGCTGAAATGTCTCTGTTGGTTTCTTCTTTTCTGTAATAAGAGGATGTAAAAGAAAGTGGACAAGCTGAGGAATTCCCCACCTTTTATTAACTCCCTGAGCATCTCAGCTGTGTTTGGTTGACAGTTCATCATCTGGGCTGTTTGTCTGACATGCTGGTTTTATTGAAGGGAATGGTTTACTCTAAAGCCGATGATAAAGAAGTAAGCCTTTCGTTTCAGTATCAGTCGTAAAACTAAAGGAGTTCTGGGTGAATTTCTTTAGGGGTTTTCCTGAGCTCAAAAGTGGGCTGAAGTCAGTGAAGGTCACTTATGTGTTCAATCTGAGCCCGGTTCTTTGGTTGTGACTGTTTTTCTCATGGTGTTCACTAGTTCAGATGTTTACATTTTATAACAGCTTTGAGAGCTGAGTGATGTAACCCTACAGACTCACTGGTTGAATAATTCAGACTCTCTGAGCAGAGTGCGGTTAAACATCTTGGCTGCTGATTTGTTTCGATGCTCTTGTGGTAAAGCTTATCAGAAGTGTCTGTGCTCAGCTATTTCCCCACCCTGCTGTAAAACCAAATTTTGTTTTTTCTTCTAATGCAGGCAGAGGAAGTTTAAGCTATGCGTGCAAGTTGAGAGAGAACACAGTAAGCTGTGCAGATCGTAAGTCTGATGAACAGCTAAAACAAATGCATGTTCATAAGATTACGAATAAAGATTTGTGCACATTGGAGAACGTTCTGTTCTTCATGAAGGCTTTTCTGTCCAAGTTTTTGTTTTATTGCTGCAGACTTTCTTGAGGCCTGTAGACTGGTGCAGTTTCATTCTCTTACCCTTATCTTGTTAATCAGAGCTTAATGTTTCCCATTTGGGAATAGAGTGCGTGCAAACCCAGCAGGTGGTCTACTTTGTGTGGATTGTACTGGAGAACAGAAAAAAAAAGATTGGATTTGCAATGTTTAACCTCTTTTTATCTGATTGATCCAAATTCTTTTAAAATCAGATTAATTCTACAAAGAACTAAGTAAATTAAATACTATTACATCTTTTGAAAGAATTAAAAATATGAGCTAAACGGATCTTTTGGTTCTTAAAAAAAACAAAAAAAAAAAACTAAGATTTGTAAATTGTAAAGTTGCACATAATTTTAGTTTTTAGTGACTTACATTTTTAAAAAGATATGAAAAGATACTTTTTTTGAATGACTGAGTTGTGATATTCAGTGACAGATTATTTTTTTCGTTTTTTTATTCTAATCATTCTGTGCCTGATTGCTCTCTGTAGAGTTCTTAGAATTGAAGCTGTTCAGAAAAAGGTTTAGAAAGAAAACTTGTAAGAAAATAATTTTAGGACAGTGATCTTGGCTTAAATGTAGATCTGATCAACCCCATGAACACATTTATGTTTGTAAAACGATAATAGTTTCTACTTTTTAACAGTTAATAGATAATATGACTAATGCTGAGCATAAAATTCACTTTTAAGTTTAAGGACAACACAAGTTACATATGAAAAGTTTTGAAAACCATTTAACGGGAGCTGTTTCTGCTTTCCTTCTTTGCTGTGAACTTCTGCAGTTGCCTGGTAAAGTTTGTATATTTTATCATTGCTAAGAAGTGACTTAGAGGGCTGAATGGCAATCTTTATAGTGTCCTGTGGTTGCAGCTAAAGCTTAATAAATAAATATTTTTAACTTTTATTCTCTGTCCCCAGACTCTAAATAATTCTGTTTATTCATGTCTGCTTCGGTGACAAAGAGGTCCTGTGACTATCGACACAAGGTGCTACCAACACAGTTGGGATTGTTCCATTATAAAAAAACCAGCCCAAACATTGTTCTTTCCTTTGTTTTTGTTTAAACTCCAAACCAAATGGTCAGTTTATAAAGATACCTTTGGTTTTTTTCCCATTTAGTCTGAAACATACAGGGGAAAATATTCGTCTGACTCAGTCCAAATCTTTAAAAAGGGAAAACACTCTAAAGCTTTAGAAAAAGTATGAAGACTTTATAGGTTTACTAGCAGAAAACTTATTAGAAGAAAATACAATTAAACTTCAACAAACTAATTTTAAGGTAGAAATAGTTGATCATCATGTTTATGCGACATGAGATGAAAACATCAGAGTTTGTTAGGAACGATTATTACTTGCAAAACACAAAAGTAAACAAATAAATGAATAAACCGAGTTAAAATCTTTATGCAGACATTGACCTCAGATAGAGTCTCATTTTCAGCTCCATCTAAAGTAGTTTTACTCAACAGATGTTGTTCATTTTACACCTCTTTTAACTATGTGAAAACCTTCCCTCCACTTTACCTTCTAAAACATTTTTATCCTGCAGTAAATGTAAACGAAAATGAAATGATTAAAAAAAAACATAGTTGTTCATTTTAAATCAATTTGCAAATTACAACAGATGTAAGAAGTATGCATAAATATATTCATATAAAGAGTTTATATTTGATGCTTTGTCTCATTTACTGCCATATGCTGTTATTCGTTTAGCAAAAAAGGCATGTTTTTCAAAACAATGACTTTATATGTATATATAATGATCAATAATTGATTAATAATGGTTAATCAGTCATCATTTCAGCCCTTATAAAAATGCTTTAGTTTTTATAAAGACTTTTCAGTTTTTTGCTTCAGTTTTTCTCCTGTGCCATTATGTACTATAGTCGCCCACCTGCTTTTGTAACAGCAAAGACACTATCCACAGCTAGGCTAACTTATCTCCTATTACTCCTCCTGTCTGTAGAAAGTGTGGGCTTTAATGTATAAATATATTTTTCCCATTACTTGAAATAACTTTGCTTACTTAATTTAGAAGAAAAAACGCCGCCTGTTGTCTTTACCAGAAGGTTTCTGATCACAATAAATGGCCCGTTAAATAACTCCTGTGATGCTGTGCTTCGATATGTCGCCATTAAAACGACTGTTTATCTGAGCATAGCTAAAACTGGCCTCCATTTCTGCCCAGTTGATGTCTCTCCAGTTTGAAGGGATGATTAAGCTAAAATCTGCTGCAGTATCACAGGAATTCCCAAACATTTCAGCCTTTACAAAGCAATAGACCGCTGACCCCTTTTCCTTCACTGTTCAATCTGCAGTAACACATGTTTCTGGTTTGTTTACATCATGTGCCCCTCATTGTCTAAATGATCAGCACCCTTCGCTCCTGGTGACTTGATCTCAGCCTGATCCATTTGCCTGTATGGAAATGTTTGCCTGACTCTGCTTCCCTGTTTAGGAAACTCCTCTAAAAGTCTGACCACACTGGTCCTAAATAAAATCAGGAAATAAAATTGTTTTCTCTTGTATTCTCAATAATTATCTCATCATTTCTATTTTAGTTGAATATCAAATAAAAACATAGATCCTAACTTTAGTTCTCTTTTTTATTGCAGAAGGCAGGATTTCTGGTCCTCCTTTGTAACCTGAGTTGACCTCAGCCCCATTTTGTTTTTGTCTCACAGATCATTTGAACTTGCAGGTGCTACAGAAGGGGAATTTCTTTCACTTTCGCTTAGTCTGCAAAGTTTCCCAATAAATTCAAAGTGCCAGCATGGAGGCGGCTGGTTTTATGGGTTTATCATAAAGAGTGTAAGCCTCCTGACGAGGTGACAGGACGGATCAACACTCATTCCTTTAACCTGTTTAGTTTTTGCACAATTTGTAGCTCTTTAACGTTTTAATCTCCTTTCCTGGCTGAGACTGATTG